GATTGCCTGGATTTTTTTTTGTGTCCCCCCTGTAAAGGTTGATTGAGCTTGGATTGCTGGATGGGCATATTTCTAAGTCTATTCCCCCTCCCGCCTAAGTCTACACGAGTGAGAGATGATCGGAAGAAAGGAGGATAGAGGTTAGTTGGAATGGAACCAAGATAAATAATGTGGGAAGATGGATGGCTGAACGAGGGTATTATGGGAAGGAGGTACTTAGGAATGGGGAGGTAAAGTAGGGAGACCTTAATGAGGGGTCTGAAATAATTCTCAACTAGTACGAGGGTTGACCTGACCAGAAGGACCATTTGGTACTCTCTTATGAAAACAGGGATCGGGTGCTGGAAACAAGATGGCGCGATGGTTGCCTTCCCCGATCTATACCAGCGACCCGGAAATGCCAGTAGATGTAAACGATGGGGTATCCGTCGTCCTCCCGGAAGATGGAACATGGACGGACCTTGAACCAGCATATCAAACGACAATGCTGGAAGAGGAGGATGTGTTTCTTTGGATAAGGACAGTATGGACTAATGTCAGTTTGACGAGGTTGTCGCCAAGTTTAATGGATTAGGAATTCCTAGGAACAGTGGAAGCCCGGGGGTGGGTCTACTTGTCGCAAGGTGGGGAGAATGCCATGGTCAGAGCGTTGGCACTCGGGAATACGCCGGACGAGTTCTTTAGGAAGGCAGAAGCAGAGGTTGTGTGGGCTGCGTGTCAGCGGAGGGAAATGAAAATGGAAAGGGAAACGTGAGGCGACCCGTCAGAACCATGCGATCTGTGCTGCCTCCCTTTCTAGTGGATGCGGTCTTCGAAACCCGGAGCAGGCTAGTATGGATATGTCAGTCCATGACGACCCTAGGACTGTACCAGTGCGCTAGGCAAGACTTCTTTCGATTGTCAGTTGAAATGGGGCCATTTAAAGGGAATTGGGCAGAAGAGCTGGCTAAGATGCTAAACTGCCTTAACGTAGACAATGCCTTTGTTCCTAGCTCCGTGCATTGGGGGATAGTCTATAGAAATGTGGCAATAGGGGAGACATTTCTCGAAGGGGTGAGGGAGTTGTTCTACAACGAAGAGGACAACTTTAGTGATGAGGACGAAGATGATGAGATAGAGGATTGAGACTTCTAAGGGGGGTAACTTAACCTAGGTGGAACGGGTGGCATGGTATTGTGCAGGAAGAGGAAAGATGACTAGAGAGGAAAGGATGATGGAATACACCTTCAAGGGTTGGGAACCAAGGCGACTCAAAGGAGGGATAGAAATGCCTATACCGGCAGAAAACGAGTGCAGGGGGACCACGTGCGACTGGGTTGGGTTTGAGGTTGCCCGGGAGTTATCATATGTGTGGATAGAACGAATTTGGAACCCAATAAGGGAAGAGGAAGGTTGGGACGAGATAGCAGAAGGCAAAGTGAAATCGGTCGGAACGATTGTCCTTTTCGAAGACGGGTGGCACCTATTTTGCACTATGTTAGCAATGGGACAGGATCCAATGTGGCTTCTAGGGGATGCAGAGGCGTGTACCCAAAAGGAAGGCAAGAGGTTTGCCAACGAAGGACGGGACGAAATTAGTAGCAGAGTTGTGATGGGAGGATGGAAGGAACTCAAGCCTTTCAACCTACGAACAACGGCTTGGGTGTCCGAGTTCATGGCCGAGTGGTTTGGGGGTTTCAAGCACATCGTAGACGTGGCTGACTCCATGAAGGAAGTTCACATAGAATGTGCCTGGTTGACTGAGGAATTCTATAGGATCTCATTAAAATATGGGCCCTTCTACGGAGATAAAGCCAGGGAGATCCTCACCGTCCTAAGGATAGGCAAGTATGACCGCCTAGAGGTAGACGGGGAAGCTTGGGACACCATAGTTGGCCGGGAGGCGGCGGCCGTCCCATCCTACGTGGACGATGTTTTTAAACTGTTTGAGGTACGGTGGTTCGATTAAAGGAACCAGAAAAATGAACGCTGCAGGGAGGTCGGAGTATGGAGGATGCATGTGAATCAGGGTGTTGCATAAGAAAGGGGGTGTGTACATTAGTTAGCAGGGGGTGCGAGGGGGTCAAAACAAGGGGAGGCAGTAACAACCGGAAAAGGGGAAGAAAATTTGTATGTGTATGGGGCAGGGATAGCAACAAGAACCGGTGTACAATAGGTAAGGAGTGTTGAAAGATTAAAGCACGAAAGACACGGAATCTCGGTGGGTGCAACGATCGAACTAAGGGAGCAGGAAAGGAAACGTTGCAAGATGGTCCGACGAATGACATTCTGGGAGGATAGGCCTCGCGGGATCCTGCCACCAAGAGCATCAGGGGGCAGGGTCGAAATGAGCCTGCCAACAAGACATGTGGTTAGTAACCCGGTAATGGACTGGGTGGGGGTAGAGTTGGTGGAAGACATGATGTATCTAGTAGTAGAACTGGAATGCCGTGCGAGAGGGGAGTTCGGGGGCATAAATTTGGACCTCCAAGGGCGCGTACATGCGACAGGATCTTTACATTTGTCGGAAGAAGGGTGGCGGAACTTTGGGATTGCCTCGGCTTCCGAGGATGACCCCGTGCGAATGTTCGAAACGGCATGGCAATTAACCTGACGAGAGGGGTTTGAGTTCGCAGATCCCGGACGAGATGACGTGATGGCTGAGGTAAAAATCGCCATGGCAGGGGTCTTTAGTTTGCCGAATGAGGTCGTACGAATGCGTCTACCACCCTTCTTACTAAGACAAATGGGAGGCATAGAGCGAGTGGAGCAGGCGGTAGCTGCCGTAACTAAGCTGAATTTTGATGAAACATTAATGTATCGGGAATACTATCGGGTCTTCCTAGAGATGAGACCTTTTGAAGACGAACAATAGCGCGAGGTGTTATGCATACTACGGGCAGCAGTAAATACTAGGTCGGGGATTCCACAAATAAGTGATGAGGCCATGTAGGGAGTCATCAGGCGGGAAGTAGGTCGGGGCACGACCTACACAGATGACCTATACCGGTTGTACGAGCAGCCATCGGAGGTTGCTGCTCCTCATAATATGGAGGGGTAATTGGGAACAGAGAAGAAGAATGAGAACATAAAGGGTAAGGGAGCAGTAGGTGGACGTTTACTGAGGATCAGTTGTAATCCTTTCTATGTGGACTATGCAGGGAATCGCCAAGACAACAATGACAGCAAGACGTGTGCGAATGGAACGCCAGCCCCGGTACCCCGGACCGCCCTGGAATAACGGCGGGCGATGGGAAGTGTCCCTTTCGTCAAATTCCAACTTTCGGGGTTTCGACGTAGAATGGCGGGCCATGACTTTAGGGAGAGACAGCGCCTTCATGTTGGTGGAATGTCGGTGGACGGGGATGAGACTCAACCGAGGGCCTGGGGATGACCTATTCTCCAATTTAGAATAACCTGGGTCTTATACCTACCCGAGGCTGGCTGTCACTTATTGGGGATAGGAATAGAGTAAGGCCACGAGCTGGCTCCAGTCTTTCAGAGGGCGGCCCGGGTATTGACGCGGATAGGACAATCAGTTAGTTGTAGGAGAAACGTGGATTTGCTTACCAGGGTGGAAATGGGAGGTTCGAGGGCATTTAGGGCACCAACCACACCGCTGAGGTGTCGGGTCCCCCAATTTATGATAGACCTCATTTTCGGGAGCCTCGCAAGGGCACAGGCGCTGGCAGACTCGACAATAATCTGGGTAGACCACTTCCCCTTTCAGACCATGGGGATGTTCTACGATGTTGCTGTGGAACATGGGCCGTTCTGGGGAAACAGGGCCCATGAGTTACAGGAAGTTATCCACATCCTGATATTTGGGTTGCCACGGCTAGTCTGGGCGGAATACGAACACATAATCCAAAGGGAAATCGAGATAGGAGAGAGTTATCTAGCGGGGGTGGCTCAACTATTCGAGGAGTCTACTGAACCGGAAGGGCCACGAGGGCGAGAACGGGACTAACACCCGGGGGCGGGCCAATAGGGCAAATTAAGTATAAGTCCGCTACGAATATAAGAAAGGACATCGGGCCCGGACGATCAAAACCCGCTAGAAAACAAAGGCGTGGAGGGTAGACGCCTAATAGTTGCCATGATCCGTGAGGTCAAAAAGGGGAATACTGCCGGGAAACTTTCCCTAGCAGGATGCCTAATCAGGACCCCTACGCACCGACCGACGAAACAAGGGCACTCTAAACGAGCCTGTGATAAAGGGAACAAAGTCGTGTCCCTCAGCTCGGTAGGGCGGCCGCGGCCCCTTCCTAGGGAAGCAATCGGGGAACGGAAATAGGGAGAAGGTTATTATCCAAATAAAGATACGCCAACGAAGCCGGAACCTGTGGAACCTAAATGCATCGCGCTGCGTGTGTCCTGGGGGATCCTTTGGTTTATGCAGATCTAGGCAAAATGGCAATGGAAGATGAGACGGGTAACCGTAGGAGCGAAGGAGGGTCAGGCTTAGGAGGCAGTGCCGTACAAAGCGAAGAGAGGCAGAAAGACAGAGAATCGATAAATTCGGATGGTACCAAAGGGAACCGGAAGGAAATAGGGAAAGCTCGGGGAAAGCCGGGGGAAGCAGACAAGGGACTCAGGAAACCAAGGAGGGCAGAAATAAGGATAGGACAAGCCCCCAGAATTTAGAGGGAGCGGTGTCTAAGAACGTGAGGGTCACGGATGCGAGGCGCAAACTAGCGGAGATAGAAAAAATGACCGCAGAGTACAAGGCAAGATTGATTGAGGAAATGATGGCTGGGAACAAAAAAAACCCTCTGCAGGAGGAACCGTGGGACGAATGGAAAACCGGCCGAGGCGGAATTGGGCAAGCGGGTAAGGGTAGTGACTGTGGGGAAACACCGAGCAAAAGAAGGAAGGAGAGAGAGAACTCCCCGGGGATGTAGGCGGAGAAAGTTACAAACCCACCAGCCATAGATAGTAGGGCTAGCCGTCTGCCGACCGCACCAGCAGTAACACTAGGATGTGAAGGACTCTAGAGCCTTAGGGAAAGGATGTTGAGATGGTTCGACCCGGAAGGAACTGCAAAGACCAGGGAGGGACAGAAGGTCGGCAAGGAAGGGGCAGGATACCAGTATGGCGGGCGAGGCCAGTAGCTCCGAAGGCGGCCTTAGGAAGATTGTATCATCCCTCTCGAGGGCACAGAACAAAAATCAAGGCTACCTAGCAGATGCTAAGAAAAAGTTGACGTTTGACGGGGCGAACATCACGAAATTCCTGACAGATTACGAGAATCTGGCCGCATTGTTGAAATGGACCGAAGAAGAAAAGATGGACCACCTGGGGCAGCATGTGTCTTTGAGCTTGGGGCGGGACAAAATGGCCATCGTAGCCACGAGTCGATCCTGGAAAGAAACCCGGGATGTGATGATGAGGAAACACCTGGCAGCGGAGAAAATGGCTACGGAAGTCGATTTAGCGGCAGTTCAAAGGAAGAACTTCGCAACGTACAATGACTTCCTACGGGAGTTTACTCTGGTAGCACTAAGGATCCCCAGGGTCACGGATCGGATAATGAGTAAATACTTCCTCAAGCAGTTCTCCAAGTTCGACAAAGACAAGATCCTATCGGCTTACCAACAAATGAGCAATTTTGTAAACACTAGGGATGTTGATTTCAGTACGGTAACGGATCTGGCCGAGAAGACAGTAGTGACCGAGAAGTTGGCCTTGCTTCAGGAAGGGGAGGTCATAAATCTGACTGGTAGGATAGGCGACAAGGTTAACAAGGGGATTGAAGGTCTACATGAGCGGGTGCACGGAGTCGACAACAAGATTGAAAGGGTGGAGAACGCGCTACTGGTTATGCAGGCGCAAGTATCCCGACCCGCCCTTCCTCCCCAGGAAGCCGTAGTACCGCCAGGAATAGCCAACCGAGGATTCAGACGGAAAGATCCCGCTAACGAACAATGCATGTACTGCACTGCGATGGGACATTATGTATGTGCATGTTCAAAACTCAACCATGATATATTAAAAAGGAGATGTACCAGGTCATTAAAGGGAGAGATATTTGAACCACAGGGAGAACGGGTAAATTGGAACTCGCCAGGGGGGATGTGGCGAGCCGTTATCATGCTCAATGGGCTAGAGATAGCGGCAGTTGAGGCTGAGCCGGTGGTCGATATCATCTGGGATCAACTTCGGGGCCACGGGCCGCATATCAACTTTATTCTGGAAAGCGACGGACACAATAGGGTGAACGCGACCACTCGACTAGGGACAGCTGGGAGAAGAATTATCCGTGACACCGTGATGAAGGAAGTTGCTGGAGGCTCCCCGCCCCAGGCAGAGCCCGAGGCCGGGGAACCGGAGAAAGTCTATGGGAAGCCTAGGGAAGAGGAGCCTACGGACAAAGTCACCGCTGCTAAAAAGAAGTTTAGGTATAAGATTCCAATCTTAACCATGCCAGAGATCGATGACACCCTTAGCAAATTACTAGGAACTATGGTGTCGGTGTCGTTTCACACCATGCTCCAGGCCAACCCTAGGTTGCTCAAAGGGCTTAGACAATTGTTGACTCGACAACGAGTAGAGATAGACGAAAACCCCGAAGCACCGGAAGAAGAAAGGGAGGACGAAGCTCCGCAAGAGGTCGCTAACCTTCAGAGGAATCGCGGGGACTTAGAGGATCTTGAGAAAGCCTTTGCGGACATCCGCCTGAGTCTGCCAGATCGAGAAGGAGGTGAGGTCATGAGGGCACCCCCCAAAACAAAGCTCAACTTCCATGCGCTATCCGTGGGAAAATTGAAGATCCAGATCGGGACTCATCATACCGACACATTAGTAGACGGGGGAACAAAAATCACTCTCATAAGGAGAGATTTCGCAACAATCTCGGGTTGTACAGTAAATAAGGAAGTAACAGGGAGCATCCGGGGAGTCAGTGGGAAAATCCCGTTCACTGGGTATATCACGAAATGCGCAGTCAAAGCGGGAATCAGGGAGTCAATCTGGTCGTTTCAGCGGATGACCGTAATGGAGGAAATGGATCACGACATAATCCTCGGGAGACCATGGTGTACAAACGTAGAAATGATAGGCATGCACTTGCATGATGGCACGTACATGATAGATATAGAGGACCCAGTGACCGGCCGGGGTGAGCTCCTCCGACTCCTCGGGACGGGGGGAGACCCTCCGAAGGGGAAGTTTGCAACGTGGTCGCCGTCATTCGAAGATAGCGCACGAAAAGGGGCTTTCGCACGGATGGAAGGTATGAGAGGAAGGGTAAAAATTATGATTGAGGAGACATTCAACAAGAAGGAATGAATCAAGATGGGTCTGCACCACAAAAAGAGGAGGTAGGAGGATGAAGTCTTAGGTGTTATGGTAGCAGAAAAGGAGTCAGAAGTCGAACTCGGTGTCAGCCTGCCCAAACGGAAAGAAGTACGCATGGACGTGCTAAAAGTTGCACTCGAGATCCCCGATTTGTTGCAGCTTATCAAGGCCCTCAGATACAACAAGGTAGAAGTGGACTCGGCGGCCTTGGTCAAATTTGAAGGAGAGGTGCAAAAGGGATATTGTCTGAATGAAAAATTAGTTAGTATTCAATCACGAGCCGTAGAGGCGATGAGGGCAATCCCGACCGTTCATTTTTTAGGAGAAAGATCCCGGAAGGAAGTGTTTGAAAATACAAACCGGTAGGAAAAAAAGCAAAACCGGTCTCGATCCTGCTAGAGACATCGAAGGAAGAGGCTATGGAGAAGGAGGAGGAGGTCCTCCGGGTGATCCGAGAGAGGCGAGCAATGGAAGGGCATCGGATACCAGCTGAGGTAGCTGATACAACGAAGATAGGGGTAGAGGGATTCTTAACGGAAGAGGAAACACGCCTGATAAAAAAAACCTGCCACGAGTTTTATCTGACATTTGCCTTTAGTGATCACCAAAAGGGGCGGTTGGACGAGAAACTGATACCTCCGGTCGTAATCCACTCGGTAGAGCATGAGTGCTGGAATGACAAGGATCCGTCCTATGAATTCGGGATAGCGGGAGAAGTGACAGACCTTCTTCGAGCGAAGATTGACTCCTTCGTCGCAGAACCTACAGCGTCGCCATACGCGAACCGGTGGTTCGTCTTCCGGAAACCCAACAAGACGCTAAGGTGGATTCAGGATCTGCAGAAGTTGAATGCGGTAACCATCCGGGATGCTGGCTCGCTGCCTCAGGCCGATCTATTGGCGGAATTGCACGCCGGCCAGAGCATTTACTCTCTGATAGATCTGTACTCAAGGTACGACCAACTTCCATTGGATGTTCGGGACAGGCCGTACACCGTTATACACACCCCCGTAGGCCAGTTGCAGATGCAAGTGACCCCTATGGGCTTCACAAACGTGGTAGCCGAAGCACAGCGGAGAATGCTCGTCGTAGCCGGGGACATGTTCCCAGAGAAGTGCGAGTCCTACATCGATGACAATCCGATCAAAGGCGCGCAGGAGAAGAACGAGACAGAAGTCCAGCCAGGAATCCGAAGGTTTGTATGAGACCATCTACAAGACATCAAAGACTTACTCCGCCGGTTCCTAGTACACAATATTACGGCTAGTAGACCAAAGAGTACTCTAGCAGTACCGGAAGGAACCATACTAGGATTTCGTTGTGGAGCTTACGGTAGGAAGCCAGATCCGGCAAAGACAGATAGAATATCACAGTGGCCAACACCCCTGCGCACGACAACGGAGGTAAGAGCATTCCTAGGCGTGGTCGGCTTTTGGAGGATCTTCATTAAAAATTTTGCCAAGATTGTTGAGCCTATCCGGACCATGATTAGAGAAGAGGGACCATGGACTGGACGGAAGAGAGAGAAGGAGCCGTCCAAACACTCAAGGATATATTGACGTCAGAGAAAGTTGCTTTGTCCACACCTTGTTTTAATGACGAAGAGGGACGACCTTTCATCCTAGAAACGGATGGAGGACCCTTGGCCGTAGGAGGCGTGCTGATTCAACGGGATGAGGAGGGAAAAGAGAGGCCGATTAGGTTCGAAAGTAGAACCCTGAACTCCGCAGAGCGGCGGTACTCACAGTTCAAGAAGAGGTCTTAGCCATCTTGCATTGCCTTAAGACATTCCAGGCCTACCTATTTGGGAGGCGGTTCATCCTTAGGATTGATCCGACGAATGTTGCAGGGGCCCTAAAGAATTACAGGCCTATAGATCCGATGGTGGGGAGATGGGTAGGATTTATTTGGCAGTTCGATTATAAGATCGAACGGATTGCGGGAATCAGAAACAAGGCAGATGGGCTGAGCCAGATCTGCATCATTCCCGAAGGGGTGGAAGAGGCGGAGCCCATAGACATGTTCCTTGAAAACAAAGGCGAAACTCTTGTGGTGGATAACCAAATGATGGGCGAAGAATGCTCGTCGGGAGAACTGTTGATCCGGACTTTGGAGAAGGGGGCGTCTGTCGTAGTAGCAGAACTTAGAGAAGGACCAGTCACCACTCGAGGTCGTAAAGAGGAGAGAGATTCATGGGGAGCGATAGTAAGACCGAAGAAGGAACTGATAGCAATGGCGGTTGAGGGAGGCCGAAAAGCCGTGATGAGGTTAGTGGAATCTTGGGAAAGGAAAGAATTGCGATGGATGGTAAACCAGATGCAGAAGAGAAAGGATGGGGACCAGGAAGGGAAGGAGTTTTTCTATGCCGAGATATATGAAGGGATCTTTCGGGAGATCGGGTTGTTGCTGGTAGGTAGGAGGCCGAAAGGTACGTCCTAAGGGGCGGCCATCTGTTCCGAAGAGAGGAAGGTGCTATGCCTAGAAGAGTTGTGTGTGAAAGATCTAGGCAATTAGACGTTATCCAGGCAATGTACGACGGATTAGCAGGAGGACATCGGTCGTCCAAAGGAACTCTTGCAAAGATAGCGCCACTCTATTATTGGCCGGGCATGGCAGGCATGGTCGCCACGTACTGCCAGACCTGCCTAATCTGCCAAGAACGGAGCTCGGCACGTGTCTTCAAGCCGCTTAGACCAACCCGGGTGCTAGGACCGGGACATCTGGTCCACCTTGACCTTGCGATCATGCCTGTATCAACAAATGGGTACAGGTATATCCTGGATGCGTGAGACAACTTCAGTGGGTTCATGAAGGCGATCGCTCTCAAGAAAAAGACAGGGAGAAGCGTAGCAGACTGAATAAAAGACTTCTACTTGAGGCATCCTTTTGTTTGAAGGTTTATAGCGGACAATGGGACAAAATTTGTGAACCAATAAGTATTGGGAATGCTTAAGAGACTCTGCGTACCGATCAAACTCATCGATTCGTATCACCCGAATGCCAATGCACCTGTGGAAAAAGGGCACCGAACTTTAAAGAACACGATTGCGAAGCTCGAAGTGGACCATCTACGAAGCTGGCCTAGGTATCTCAAGCAGACTGTCTTCTCAGAGAACATGACACCTAAGAGGACAACGGGATGTATCCCAGCAGAACTTTGGTACGGGAGAGAGATCGACTTTCCCGTCAAAACCTTGATCCCTACCTGGAACAGGTTAGATGATGATCCGCGAATGACCACGGAGGAGTTAATCGAGGCAAGGTGTCAACAAGTCCTTCAGAACGAAGAGGTCATGGAAGACATCGCCAACCGGGTATTAGACAGCAGAATGAGGGACAAAGCAAGGTGGGACCAGGTTAAGAATGTCAGAAAGGAGTCACTTCAGGTGGGGGAGACAGTATTGCTAAGGAATTCGACACTAGAAAGTACTTGGTCTGAACAACTCGGGAGGAGGTTCAAAGGCCCCTACCAGGTCGCCAAGCGGGTGGGACTCAACACCTTCGAATTGGAAGATTTGGATGGAACTGGATTGAAAGGACCCTTCCCGGGGCAGCGATTGGTCAGGTTTCTAAGTCGGGACCCAATGGAACAATGGCTTCAGGAGGCCGAGGATAAGGAAACTGGGGGGCTACAAGCTAAGGACTGACAACGACCTTGCCCACACAATGGTTCTGTCTCTGACTGCGCCTGTGGGACTGTCGTTTTTTTAGGGTTGGGGCAATGGCTTGGACCAACTGAGGTTGGAAGGCAGGATGACTTGGGAGTTTGCGGTAATGGGTTTGTGTGACAATGAGAAGGATTGTCAGGAGCATTGTACCATAGTTTTTGACGGGGAAATAATGGGATCATCACAAAACGGGGCATTTGCATAAGGGAGGGAAATGTATAAATGATGGTATAATGCGAAGAGTATTGGGAGCATTCTGGGAAGGGAGCTGCCTACCAGACTGGCGAAACGGGTGTGCGAGGGGTTTTGCGGGTGTTCTTTTGTTATACAAGACCTAGAAGAAAAACACAAGAAAAAGTAAAAATGGAATTCGACAACGAGAATGACGGCGGGCGATCAACAGGCCTACCGGAGGGGAAGAAGTTGACCAAGTCGAGGAAGGAGGACGACAAAGAGAAAGTTGTACATAGGGCTCATATCCGGGTCAGCGGTTGGCAGGGGTGGAAGAAAGTGTGTATGTTGAAGACCCTCGCCCCTCCGGGAGGGAGAAGGTATATATATCTCATCTGGGAGTGAGAGCGAGGAGGAAAGGGCAAGTGTAGGAGAAGCGGGCAAATGCGGATATGGAAGATAAGGCCTAGGCCTCTGACGAGGAAAGAGCCAAGAGGTGCGAACAACGTGAGTCTTGGCATAGGGAAAGCGAGGGGAGACATGACATGTGCAGCGAGCATGAGGACGGGGAGGAGAGAAGGGAAAGCCCGCTTGAAGGACGGAGCGACCACGACAGTTTTGAAGAGAGGTACCCGAGCGTTGAAGAGGGGTATGAGACACGGACATGAATTCCCTATACCTACGACCCAAAGAACCTCACTGGCGGGTATAGCCCCATACAAACGGAAGAAGAGGAGGTGCAGGAGGTCATAGAAATCAGCAGTGGAGATGAGAAGGATGAAATCTCGAGGCCTAGAGAAGAGAGGCGGCCCCCAATACACCAGTCGCGTGAAGGAGCCTTGCGATGGGAGGATGAGTTTGGGCCAACGCCCAGCCATTGGTTTCAAGAATGGCTCAGTGTGATCAAACATGAGTGGATTATCAAGACCCGGGAACTCGCGAAGGCAGGGGTGGTGGCCATACCATTGGATTTCTACAGCGAGATGGAGTTGCGAGGGATTGCAAGGAGGAGAAGAGAAATCATGACCTCCGGCCTGGGGTTTCGAGAGCCAACAGAAAGACAAGATGAACAAGGGACCGAGCGAGTTGAGGCGCAGGACAACAATAGGGATTAGATCTTAATTAATCGTTGAACAAGAATCCTGTTTTTTTTTTCCTCATTTACAAGACATTAGAACTATAAGAATGTGTATAGTATGAGTAAGCTTGCCAAGGATGAGTGATGAGAGGGCCAGCTAAGACTGTGTCACGATAAGTTAGAAGATAGTTTTTGAGGCTACTTTCTGGATGAGCTACCTTCGAAAGTGGGTACACAAGACGATGACATGGGACATGGTATGAGACCAGCTGGGAAGGGTGTAATGAGGATTGTACTTTTTGAGAAGAGAAACTTTGAGTACAGATTGACGAGCAAAGCAAGGCATTGAATGTTGGTCGAGTACAAGAGAGATTAGGGAACCTATGGTTTAAGGGGCGTGATGAATACCTCTTCCATAGGAGCCTAATCCAACTTAGTCATGAATGAGTCTGAGAATAGCCGAGATCTGAGTCATCAGAACGAGTGAAAATAAGAGGGGGTGCCCTTGTCTTTTGCTATGGTTAAACGGTCGGGTGCGCTAGTGCTGGTTGGGGTCGCGAGCCCCAACTCGAGTACTAGACGCTAAGTCGAATGTATGCAATCATAGTACATTGCTTTGGGGATGGATGAGGGGAACCGCACGCAGAAAACTGAAAAGAGATGACCACCTAACCTCCAAGATAGAAATGGGATCCGTGTCCTCAAGGCCCACCCCCTCGGGCGCTAACATTGAGAATGGAAAGGAATTGCCCTAACCAGACTATTCGACTTGAGAATGGAAAGGAATGACCCTAATCAGGCTGTTCGACTTAAGAATGGAAAGGAATGACCCTAATCAGGTTGTTCGACTTGAGAATGAAAAGAAATGGCCCTAACCAGGCTGTTCGACTTGAGAATGGAAAAGAACGACCCTGACCAGGTTGTTCGGGAATGACCCCTGACAAGGGTCATTTCTTTTGAAATAGGCACTGAAGTCCCCTGTATAATTGATTGAGAAAGGTTGATTGAGAATGAGCTGGAATTAGCAATGAGAGATGAAAAAGATCAGTGGGTCGGTCATTGAAATAGCCGAGAGGATGGATGAAAAAGAATGAGAAGGGCAGGATAAAGAAGGTTGACCCTTAATTCAAGAACGACATAGACCGTTGGGACTGTTATAAGGAATGAATATTGGGGAATGTGAAAGTTGAGGATTGAAGGTGGGCCGACGGGTCGGCCCTTGAAAAGAATGGCTATTGAGAAAACGACCGTCAGAGCGGCCACAAGGGGTGACCTTGTTGATGAGAGGTTGTCGGACCAGCCATGAGAATCAACCTTGGAAATAGCATTGGATTGAGTGTTTGAGAATTGAATATTGCATTGCATAGTCAGGGGACCCTAGGCAATTTAATGTAAGGTAGTCGGGCCGACCATGGAAATAGCAAGAGATTGAGCTTTCTCGTTGTTCTAGTCTCAGGTCTCGTCATGAGGGGGAAAGTGATGCATGCATCGCAACCCCAGGACCTCTACCCGTCAAGGGAAAACTCTCAGTGCAACCTATCCCTCATAAGGGAAAATAAGGGTTGAAGGACCATGGCATAGTTCTCTTTGATTGATGCTGGACGTCCGGAACTAACTCCGACAACGAGCTTTAGTCGGGAAGTTCGAACTGCGCCTCATGTTGAGAACCTAAACGTCAAGGGCGTGGAGCCAAACGGGCGAGAGAGTCATTCTTTTTCCTAAGTCTCATTTTTTATCCCCAACCATACGCCATACCGTAGAGGGGCGGCACGGCCGTTTGGAATGGACCATGACTGCTCGCATTAAGTTGACCAGCACTGTCCAGAGGGAGGAATCGGGCGTGGTACCGAGTGGAAGCTGCAACCACCATAGAGCGAGTGACACCGCCCTGTCGGATCATTACAACCGTTCCGGGACTAACCGCGAGGTCTTCGTAACTACACTCGCAAACTGATTGAAAGTCTCAACTCTCTTGAAAGGAAGATGTCGGATCCAAGAAAACACCACTCGGGAGGAACGATTTGCGAGAAAGCCCTTACGGCAAGATGGGGTCCTGGGAGGTTTTTGGACTGGACCTACTTGCCAGATGTGAGGAGATACCTCAGTGATGACGCCCGTCTCGTAAGCAGCAAAAAGTCGGACGGAGTAGGGGATGAGGTGAGTTATCAGCAGGGGGAGGACTCATCATCCTCCCTTTTTGGGGCTGATGGGCCGGCATCCGTCTACTCAGTTGGTGGGCCAAGGTCTGCGGACGTCCGAGTGAGAACTAGTCGTGCGATGGGGAGGTTGCATTTTGAGTGGGGGGAAGGTGTGTCATCTACCGATGAAAAAACGTGCAAAAGAGAAGGTTACCATGAACTCAAGAAATTGTGTAAGTAACTTTGTGCAGGCTTGAGGAAAGGTCTGGCAAGATGTCCGGAAGAAAAATGCTTGTATAATTGACTTGCGCAGGCTTGAGAAAATGCCTGGCAAGATGTCCAGAAGAGAAATGGATGAGTAATTGACTTTGCGCAGGCTTGAGAAAAGGTCTGGCAAAATGTCCAGAAGAAAAATGGATGAG